AGGCTGATTATTTGAGCCTCAATAGTTAAGGCGACACGAAGTCATTTAAGTAAGCAGTGTGTACCAGTCTCTGCAGAATTTGACGAGATAAATTACGTGATATGAAGTGAGTTAATGATGTAAGTTGGCCACCGTAATAACTTTTACAGCTGACGTTTCAAGCGTCGGCCCCTCGTCGTTTGTTCTGATAAAGGGCTAACGCTCGAAACTTCAGCTTTGAAACTCTTTACGGTGGCCAATTTACATTATCAACTCAGTTCATAAACCCCCTTTTTCATCTGTAGAATTTGGTATTGGTCCTACCAAGCCAGTTAAGATTGCCACAGTCGCTTGTCTTGGCTGAAAAAAACTTTAAATGGTTCGAGAATGGTAGCGTTGTGTGGAAATAGAAAAAAATATGTAGAGCCTTTCATTGCAGAATGTGTTAACATTAGCTTCTCTTATTTAGGTGGTTCACCGTATCCACGAATGGATGGAAGAAAAATTGCAAACTTACTTCAAGAGGGATACAGAATGCCTAAACCAAAACATGTGGATGATAAGTTGTATGTTGATATCGTGTTGTTGTTCTTTTTTTTCTAATGGCTTTTAGCGTACAGTAGTGTTTGTTTTGCTTTTGTTCGAGTTGTTGTGAGCCTCATCATTTCCCCGTTTTTAGTTGTTGATTCAGTCTAACAAAGGGAAATGAAAGATGAATCAGCTTATGACGAGTTAATCTCTGTGGTACATCTATGGATCTTTTGTCCTTTATTAAAGAAATATGAAATTTTGAATTTAAAGCTTGTTCGTTCAGGATAGTTTAACCTGTTTCTAATTAAACTTTTCCTTAATCGCAGCATTTCTCGCGTCAAAGACGCTTCAGCTAAGGCCTAGGCTACCAATTTAATACTAAGAAATTTATGACGTCCTTGTGTTTAAGGTATGGCATAATGACAAAATGTTGGAAAGACGACGCTAACTTGAGACCATCTTTCGAAAATTTGAGGAAAGAACTCAAAGAAATGGAAAATCAGCATAAGGTAGAACTGAAGTGTTTACACAGAGAATTTCTCTGTTTTTTCTTTCTTTTTAAAGTTTGATTGTTAGAATCTACCACCATCGACTTTACTCAATAACTGCGTCACCGTGAAGGCTTCGAAGCGTAGTCTATGGTATCAATTTATCTCGCCTTCAAAGCAGTTTTCAATTGAGTATGGAAAGCGATCCTGAATTGCTGTGGTTTTGGTTACTTCACTCTGTCATTGGTCTAGAAAATTTATCTCACCAACTCAACCAGTCAAATGTATAACTAAAACCAACCCCAGCTTGATCACACGCACGTTTTTCCGTGCTTCAAACGGCCGGGTCACCTGATTTTACTTTGAATTCTCGTTGGCTAATAGTTTGTCAACTTTTGTCCTGATAGATAGTTGTGAGTACATTACGTTTAGTTTTTCGACACCCAAATTAAACAACTATCGAAAATCAATTGTGTTAACTAACTGCTCTCTATGTTAAAAAAAGATAAACGAAGGAACCATTGAAAGCTTAACAGAGTATAGAAAAATTTATACCCGTTTTTTTTTTATTATTATTTTTTTTATACTATTGTTTTCTCTCATCTTTTTTTTTTTTCCTACAGGGGTTGATAAACTTAAAAAATTACGACGATCGACTCTACGTTAATGTTGACGATCTAGCCGAGTAAGCGAGTCTCAAACAGGAAAGGATGGAGCACTGACTATTGCAGCCCCATGAGATCTTACATATTTCACATTGACCCATATTTTTTGATGATAAAGCAAGTCTTATAAACAAGCTGTCTAACAGCGAAGCGAGGCAAAGCAGCTTTTCATATTATTATTTTGATATATATTTTTTTAAGCTTTGGTCCTGAAAGGACAAACGATTTTGTATTAACGAGTTTAAAAAGCTGCAACCAAATGTTTCCCCCTAGTGTTACAGCTTTACCGTAATTGCTCTGGGGATGAAGTGTTCATAATTTCAAAGTGTTTTTTTTTTCAAAAGCGTCGCAAATATAATTCTAATATAATATGGTGAACATGGTGAATTTCTTGCGTTTACGCGACCCGCGTGGTTGAAGCATAATAAGAAACAGCCGTATGAATTAAGTTTCTGTTTGAAGAGCACTGTACGGGAGGAGGGCGAAGAGTTCGAGGATCGAGGTTTCACTAAGATCAGAATTTAAAGTGAAATTCTCATAATTTTAATGTTGTGACAAAAGTAAACAGATGGCTTGGTTTAATTAAAAGTACTATAAAGGGCATAATGATGCAATTATAACGTTGAAAGCTCTCTACTGCTTCCTGGTCCGCTCTAATCTAGAATACTGCTCTGTGGTGAGGTCTCCCTATACCAAGAAAAACTCTGAAAAACTTGGGGAGAAAAAAACAGAAAAGAGCTGCCAAACTTATCTCAAAGACGGAACATGAATATGAAACCCGATTAAAGAAACTGAACTTACTGTCCCTTGATTAAAGAAGAGTGTTCGTTGATGTTACTTTCCTTTACAAAGCGCTGAATGGCATGATTAATGTCGATACTCAACCTTATATTGATTTTTTATCAGAAAGCGACTGATAGCCCCTCAGGCATAGCGATAACAACTGAAAAAGAATTATGCTAGAACCAGCGTGCTAAAATACTCATTAATTCATAGAATTATAAATAGATGGAGCGTACTGCCTATAGACACTTGCTTTGAAATAATCGTAATAAAATAAAACAAGTTAAAAAAAATCCCTTTAAGCTGTGGGTATATCGAGTTATGGATGCACTTGAGAAGTTTGGAAAGCACTTTGCTCAAAAGATGCGAGTGTTTCTCTCGGCTGCGCCTCTAGCAACACTTGAGCTTCCCCCATGCCCTCCAAACTTCCCGAGTGCATCCATAACTCGATATACGCACGTTAGGCATGAACCAACCAGTCCTTTATTAATAGAATTGTATTTTCGACATGTTCTCTTTCTAGGGTTGAAAGTCAGAACTCAATTTCACCTAAATATTTTACAAGACAAGATTTTTGTTGCAGCCCTTGTATTGAACTTTGAATTTCTGAGATATTCATGGACTTTGTAAAATTCATCAGACGAGACCCGCGTGCCGGTTCGTAGTTCAGCCCACCTTTGTCTCTTTCGCGACTTCAAACCCAACAGATCTAAAAAATAATACGCCTCTTTGAATGAATGAAATCAATAAGATTTAGAGGACAAAACAAAGAACTGTAAAAGCATAGTTGCGATAACTGAAAAAGAAGACAGTTCAGTCCTAATCACGTTGTGATGAGCGTCATGGAAAGTAATGGTAACCGTTTATTGTACTCGTTGTTCCTGCATGAACTTATTAAACTTATATGTATCCATCGATCCCTAAAGTGAGGGTCTCAGTGGAAGGTGGGGAATAACGTTAACGTTCCCGGCAGTAACGTTGTTGGTTGACGGTTAAAAATAAGCCCTTTTGACGGTTGGCAGTTAAATTTTAGGTTATTGAACACTTGCGGTTGACGGTTAATTTTTTGGAATGTCGTTTATAAAGCAAACTAAACGCGCAATTTCGACTGTAATTTTTCATAATAACGCGTTTGTGAAGAACCGTTGATTTGCAACACCCTTTATTGATAAATGACTAACGTTTAACGACACCGGAAGTGTTTCCACACCGCCAAGATTTACTCCCGACTTAGTCTCCCTCGCAGCCGTTTTTTTTGGAGCGTTGCGTGACATCCAAAAAAAACGGCTGCGAGGGAGACTACTCCCGACTAGAAGTTAAACTGGACTTATTACTGAATGTATTGTTATGATATATCAAAACTTTTATTTATAAAAAATAGAACTTGACCCAAATTAATTGAGGCAATCGTTTAGTTCTTGATTAAGGATATCTGAGACATGTGAGAGCCACCATTGGCTTGCTTATTCGACGGTTGACGGTAAGAGTATTGCGTTTTTGACGGTTGACAGTTGATATTTTGGCCATTTGACGGTTGACGATATTAACCTCATTGAGATCCAGTCTAAATTTAGCTCATGTTGTCATCATGACAGGAAGTCTAAATTAAAGAACGTCTAAAAGAAAACTTTCTGTTTTTAAAGTGCTATTTTGAATTGCACTATGAACAGCGTTCTCATCACGTGGAGGCATTTAAAATAAGTGTAGGGAAGTCTAGTCAAGTTTTCTGTCAGTTTGCCTGAAGTCCATTTCCTACAGATCCACGGTAAACCGGAAATCAGTGACAGATTTCTGCCCTTCTGCTTGCCACACTCGTGACAAAATCCTCATAGCAACAAACAGCACAGTTTGCTTAAATTTACATCTTTTCGTTCCTGATGTGGTTGTTAATAAAATCATCGATGAAAGATGTACGTTTCATACAGGCCTTTCAAAACCTGTCTATTTTTGTTAACATTGACTTGCGTCTGAAGGTGCCGCCCAACCACTGGTAGACGGTCCTTCGCCTACCGCTGTGCAAAGCTCTGGAATGATCTAAGAGACAATCAGTTAATAAATCCAAGTTCAGAATCAATCAAACTTTTTAGGAACAAAATTGTCAACCTACTTTTCTGTGATCAATTGGGATTTCTCTCAATCACTGTAATTAGTATATGATCTATTGTATTTCACTTATTTTTAACGTTATTCATTATATCAACTATTTAGTAATTTATTTAGTTATTTCAGCTATTTTGTAGCCTTGTGACTGAAACACCCTTTTTAGGGAGTTCCGATAAAGTATTCATTCATTCATTCATTCATTCATTCATTCAAGGTAGCACGAAAATGTATGGGAAGTTTTGAGGCTCACAACGTTAATGCACCCATTCCCGTTAATCCCGAGCTTTTCCAACCAGCTTCCCCTGAAGTCCTTCCGTGCTTTCTCTAACAAAGGGACGTCTGTATGATGCTTAATGCGAAAAGTTCAACGAGATCAATGACCATTTCTTGATACAGGGTAATCTTTTTTTTCTCCGTGGTCTGTTATCATTTGCAATTTAGCGGTCGAATCTTTCAGTTCTTATATTTGGGAATAAGGGGACTTTTTTTTTTGTCGTGACATAACCTCATTCAAACACGCCTAGAGTTGGGAGAATTCTAGAAAGAACAGGGGAAAAGTTCTTAGAAGCTGTTAACTTAGCGATCGAACAATATTTTCAAACAGAACTGCAGGTTGCTTGCTCGCTAAAAGCTTCGAATTCGTTTTTCGCGATCCAGACGATGATCAACGCGAAAATAAACACCAAGTCTATAAACAAAATTTCCCGTTAAACTCCTTCAAAACTCCATACACATAACAAAAAGTAAATTTGACAGCATCAATCCCGGAAGTCTTCGAACACAGACTTAAATCGGCGACACACCCAGCGATTTTATACGCCGATCGCGGCGATTAACGAAAATCGCTAGGTAAGCCTGCGGTAATGGCAAGTTTCGCCGATCGCCGCGATCGGCGAAACTCGGCAAATTTCGGCGTTTTTATACGCCGATCGGGGCCGTTAAATTCGCCGCGATCGATGGATAAAATCATCAGGTGTGTCGCAGGCTTTACTTCCACGTCTCGCCTATTTTGATCCTTGAGCTGCTCTAAGAATAGTTACAAGTATGAATAATTCTATGATTCAGAAGGAGTAGGAGAAATCGAAAGGGGCGGGAACTGGAAATATTCCGGCGCTAGTAGGCTACAACTAAGGGCTCGCCATGTCAATCCCTATCCTTCACAAACGGAAATATTTCCGACACATTTCCATTTTCTAAAGTGATTTTCTACATCTAAACTGAAAGGCTTCAAAACGTTTCTGGGGTTTTTACAAGACAAATCAATATTTTTAATTCAAAATCAGAGGAAAACTGTTCTTGTTTTATAATGAAATCAAAAGCATGAATTGTTGTAATATGACTGTGATCTACAAGTCTTTTAGATCGGCCATCAGTCTAAGCACTGTTTTCACAATGGACGATCAGTAAGTGCTGTGGAATATTAATCTTTTTAATCTGCTCTAAGTGTTTGCCGTCGACATTAACATTTGCTAAAGAGTAGCTCTTTTGAACCTTCCTTACAATTGAAGCCCCGCAAGATGAAAGGACTACAAAAAGGTAGGCTAAATTTAATTTATGATATTTTTGGCTGATATGTATTACAAATGAACGCAAAATTTGCCCTTTTCAGTTTGAAATACTTGTAATCATTTTGCAACTATCCAAGTAATTGTTGAAACAGTGTAGAGACTGATGGCCGATGAAGAATGGGGCAAATGTGAAAAAAAAGACTGGGTCGAGGAAGTCGGTGAGAAGAAAGATGGCGGCTGTTTTGATCGTGCAGGTTGAGCAGGTAGGCTTGTGTCTCTTCCCCTGTAAAAGTAAATTTGATTGATTTTTAGGGTAGTCCTTGGAGGTATTCCGCGGAGTAGTCCGTGGGGCAGTCCGCGGAGGGGGGTCAGTCTTTTCCACTTTGCCGATCTAAATTATTCTCCTTCAGATGGTGGTGGTGTCACATGGTCTGAACCTACTCCGGTCAAGACAGCATCGAATCCAGCTGAAATGCTTCCTCCTGGAATTGTACACGTGTATGATGGGTCTTCTGTCACATTGAACTGGAGCTACAGTCTGACGTTAGGCCTAGGCCTTGGTGGTCTCGTAATTAAATTCAACGGGTTTGGCACAGTCAGCATTAGATCAGAAGATGGTTCAACTGGCATGGTCGTGTCAGTGATAATTTTCAGAAACGGTTCAGCGTAAGCTGACAACTCCAGGAAGAATTTCTCTGTCTATCTCTGCGGTGGCTGTTACGGACGACATTGTCAATGGAGAATTTAGATGCGAGTTCAATGATTCCAATATTGGTCCTTGGAAACGAGCAAATACAAGTGTAAGTCATAAGCCTGGTAAGGTTAAAGTATTGCTGGCTTTTAGAGAGGCACATTTTAACTGTAAAATATTATTATCCACATATGTCAAAAAAAAAAAAAAAAGCATTTCAGGATTCACTTATGTTGACATGTTGTATTTGGCTCTTTACACTTTGGTGGCCTTATTGGTGGCCTAAAGCCCCCTAGAAGAATTATTTCAAAAGATTGGTTTTTGTAAACAGCTCCAGTGAATTTCATTATTAATGATTACAAAAAGTATTTCTTGAAACTGCAGGCAAAATAATAATGCTCAATCTAAGCTGAGAAAAGGGTTCAGAAAAATTAGTGGTGTTTTGAATATTAAGGTCCACTGAATTATTTTTATAAGACAGATACTTGTGCATGGTGATAATTATGTCTATTGATTCTCCTGAATCAGACTGTAATGTTATTGCTCTGGTTTTCTACAAAGCCTTTTTTACATCTCTGTGTGTGCAAGGCAATGATTAAAATCTCAGTTAAAAGATAATGTGCCCTATATTTTAACTGTTTTTTTCTTTTTTCTAAATTCCATTCTTAAGTTTATGGCACTTTCTGTTTGAAAATTCATGAATGGCATTAATTTTTTTTTTCATCCTTGTAAAGAGATAGTATACTTGTGAATATTTTAAAGCTTAACTATGAAGTCATGATCTCAATGAGTTTGAAACTTCATTCCACACAAGAAAACTTGACTGTCAGCAGTATAATACGAGTATATTTTTTGCTGTCTCTTACATTTCACCATGTTTCTCAAAAAGGTTAATTTATTGATATCATGATGGTAATTATTTAAATTTACCTAGTACAGGTATGCTTTCAAGAAAACAAAAATTAACATCAGTGCTGAAAATGTGTCATCTTATGAAACACTGACAACAGGAAAACATGTTGCTGTTAGGTAATATTTCTTAAATTTTTAAAGTTCCAATATGAGAAAAAATTTTCTTTGAAATAGATAGAGAGATAGGAAAAGGATTCTTGACAGAAATCCCCCATAATTCTTACCATAAACAGTACTGATAAATTTTACAACAATTTCAAACTATTGATATGAAGTCTT